CCCAGGCGCACGGCCCCCCGCGCCCCGTCCCGCGTTGCAGCCCCCGGGTCCCCGGCTGCGAGTGCGAGACCCGGGCCCGGGAGGGACAGCGCCGGTCTGGGCAGCGTGGTCCGCCGGGCACACCCAGTCCTCCCTCCCGCGAAGTTCCTCGCGGACCCTCCCGCCCTCTCCTCCGAGTTCCTGGGAAGGCTGCTGGAGGAGGCGGGGCCTGGGCCCAGGGGTCACCTCGTGGGTGACCCTTGTGCCCGGGGTGACCCGACTTTGCAGGCAGGTGGAGCCCGGGCACCCAGCCTGGGGGAACCTGCGGGAAGCCAGCCGGGGAGGGCGTGGGCCGGGGCTGCCCGCACATCCCGGCCGGCCCAGCTGCTGTCCTCGGGACTTTGGGAAGCAGGTGGCCAGAGGGTTTGAAGCCCACAGTCCTCCCACTGCAAGGGACGCGGGGCTGCCTAGCGGCTGGGCTGTGGCCGCGTCCTAAGCCTAGGCTCAGGCCACAGGGGACAGGGCATCCAAGGGCATCCGGCTAAGAGGCCAGAAGTTCGGGGCCCAAGGAGGGCAAGCAGGCCAGAGCTCCAGGTAGCATCTTCCCCTCCTCCTCGCTGCTCTGCTGGACCAGGTGGAGCCAGCCCAGCCTGGCCTGGGGCCAGATGCCCAGCACCTCCGCCCTGTCCCTGGCAGGCAGTCCCAGCTGCAGTGGGAGGGGCCCAGGGTGGGCAGCTGGGTCCTGGATTGGCCTCTGTCTGCCTCAGTGGCCCCTTCTGCAAGTGGAAGCATGAGCATGACCTGGCAGGGCTGATGAGGGTCAGGGGCTCTCTTTGGCCCCTGCAGTGCTCTCCGAGGGCTGGTTTGTGCCGCTGTGGAACCTCTGCTGTGTGCGGCAGGCCTTCCCTGCCAGCGCTCGGTCCCCCTGTGGCTTATTCCCTCGCCTGCCTTTCCGTCTGCTGAGTCCTCCCAGTAGTAAAGTGCAGAAACTGGGTCCTGAGTGGTCATCTGAAGGCCAAAGGGACGACCTGCTCCTCTCAGCTACTCTGTGGGACAGGCACAGAGAGGTCCCAGCAGCTCAGGGTGGGGAGCAAAGAACCCTGTATTGCTTTGGTCTTTGAGCCTGGGTGTCGATCCTTGAGCCTGAATTAAAAGAGACACGGGAAGAGGGTAGGTCTGAGGCCTCACGCTGCTGGCGTGGGCTGTGCAGGGCCAGGGGAGGAGAGTTGAAGGCCACGGGGACAGTGGCCGGGCGTGCAGTGTGGGTGGCAGCTGCCCGCCACGCTGGGGGAGCTGGCGCGATGCTGAGCACGTCCGCCCTCCCAGATGGCGTTGCCTTCTCCGGGCGGAAACCTCGCTTGCCGGCCAGGCGTGTCCAGGATACCGTGTCCAGGGGCTGTGTCTCGGGGGCCCTGCTGAGCGCGAGCCCAGCCTTTCGGGGTTCAGATGTCTCCAGGATGAGCGCCGGTCCTCCCCAGCCACTCAGCAGGAGGCACGCTCAATTGTTATGGACTGTCCTCCTGCCAGCTGTCCCCTCCTGGCTCTGACTGAGGAGGGCGGCTGGGGCCGGGGCTGGGACCAAGCAAGGGGCTCCCACCCCACCCACCTCCGCCTCTTAAGGTCAGGCAGGCACGCCCGGCTGACAGGCAAGCACAGGGGTGAGTCCAAGGCCACTGTCATGAAACTGCAGGCAGCCCCATCCTAAGCCCCCACGTGTCCCCTAGCTCCAGATGTGGCTTGGGAAGGCCCCCTTGAGCTCGGAGGGGAGCTGCTCCCCGACCCCGGCCTCCTCTCCCTCTGGTGTGCATGTGATCGCTGGGTCAGCCCCCAGCTGGGGCGGCGACTTTCCCAGCCACTCAAGACCAAAAGCAGAGCAGGCTGCCGCCGCTGAGCCCCAGCCTGTGTCCCTGGCCCCAGCAAAGCTCTGTGGGGGGCTAGAGAAGGGCAGACACGGGCCAGCAGGAGGGAGGGCTTGGCACCTGGAGACTGGGGAGGGGGTGAACTGAGGCAGGAGAGCTGGGGACAGGAAGTCCAGCAGAAGGGTGCGAGGGGTGCCAGCCGGACAGCCCAAGGGATGACAGAGCGGCTGCAGCCTGTGGGGTCCGCAGGGTGTCCCCTACCAACTTCCGCAGCAGTGCTCCCGCTGGGGCTGTGGGGCCCGGGGGCTGAGGGGCCCCTGCTGTGCTGTGTGTCCCCAGTCCCTCAGGGACTGAATTGTGTTCTTGGAGAAATCAGTTGATAATGTTTGGAGGGAAGGCTGCACACTCCAGGTCACATGGGACTGCCCACCCAGCTGGGTATCTCAGCACGCCAGGTCCCTGGGCGCCTTCCCTTGCCAAAAGGTCAGGGCTGGCAGATCCCAGGGAAGCAGAAAGCACTGCGCAAGACACCAGGGGGAAGAGCCGCCCACGTGGGGCCCCCCGGGACCATAGTGGCTCACCCGTGGGGTGGGGTCCAGGCCCTGCGCCTTTCTTCCTGAGCCCAGAGCAGGCATTATTCACCCTGTCACACCCCCCGCCACCGTCCATTGGCCGAATGACTATCGGGACACAGCCCAGCTCTGTGCGGGCACACACGTGTGCCCCGTGGTTCTGATTGCTCAGCCAGCCCTGGCATTGCACCACCTGCCCCTCCCCATGCCCGCTGCTGCCACCCGCACGCAGGCCACCTCGGTTGCTCTGCCTGCGGCCTCTGAGCTCCGGTCTCCACAGTTCTTACCCCATCTCCATAGCAACAAGGGTGAGCTCCCTACGACACCCGCGGTGACATCACCCCTCTGCTGAGTCTGTGTCCTTCATGGTGAATGCCAAAAGGGGGAGTAAAGCCTGGCATGGAGGTGCACACCGGTGATCCCAGCACTTTGGGAGGCTGAGGCAGGAAGATTCAAGTTCAAGCTTCGCTTGGGCAATTTATCAATTTAGGGAGACCATGTCTCAAAAAATTTCTAAAAGAGGGTCTGTGGCTCAGGACAAGGGTCCTGGGTTCAGTCCCCCATACTGAAAAAAAAATTGAAAGCAAGGGTGTGAGTGGGCAGGCCCATCCCGGGGCCCAGGAGAGCCCCCGCGCTGTTCCCACACCCACCCCATCTCCTCCTCGCAGCACAGGTGGCCATGGGCTCTGTGGGAAGCCAGCGCCTCAAGGAGCACAGCATGGCGGGCACACCCGACGGGAGCTGGGGGACCAGCTTCAGCTTCGACGGCTTCCAACTGGAGGCTGCCGCAGCCATGGTGGAGACAACTCAGGACCGGGGCATCAGGGCCAGGGGTGTCCCTACCTTCGTGGACTCGGGTGAGTGCAGCACGGGCTGGGGCGGTGTCCGCCCTAAGTGGGGTTCAGCCACGTGGCCCTGGGAAGCCCTTGGATGGGGACACCTGGGGCTGCAGCACATGCACGGAGATACACACCGTGACCCCCTGCAGCGGCCATCTGTGCCCATGGACAGGCTCCATGCCCACCAGGAAGGTGAGGGGCATGCAGTGAATCAGCCCTGACCCATGCTTCTGTCTGGAGGTGCCATGGGGTGCTTTGGTCACATTCATCAGACAAAGCCAGCTGTGCCCAGCTGCAAAGGAGACGGTCGAGGGCTGAAGGTGAGGTTCAAGGAGCTGATTGTTGTAGCTGGGCGGAGGCTCAATCCTGTCATCCCCAGACTCTGGGAGGCTGAGGCAGGAGGATCGCAAGTTTGAGCCCAGCCTGGGCAACTTACCAACTTCGTGAGACCTTTCCTTAAAGTAAAAGATAAACAAAGGCTGGGGCGATAGCTCAGCGTGAAGATCCTGGATTCAATCTCCAATACTTAAAAAGAAAAAAGCTGTTCGTCATCCGAGCTGTGTGACCTTGGGCAAAAACTTAAACCTCTCTGAGCCTCACTTTCTGCAAATTGAGGATCTGGGCCCACCAATTGTGAAGGTAGGGCCTGTAGAGTGGTGGAGGGCAGGGCTGGCACGAGACAGGCACGGGGCCCCCCAGCCTCCTGTCCTTTGCTGCTGGGGACCTCGGGTGAGTCATCGCCCCATGTGGGCATGGTTTGTGTGTCGTGCAAAGGGGTGGCGTGGATGCCACACTCAGAGGGGGCTGCTGCGTGCCTTGGCCCCACCGAAGCTCAGAGCATGACCTCGCCGTCCACCTGGTCTTTGCCCATAGGCAGCAGAGCCTCTGCTGACCAAGGCGCTCCACGTGGAGGGATGAAGAGGGCTGGGCAGTTCCTTGGGGTGGCAGTGGACACCGTGGAGTGGGATGTGCGCTGCTCGTGGTGGCCGTGATGGTTTAACTGTGAGCCCGTGGTGACAGGGAGCTTGGTGACGCTGGCAGGGTCAGTCACGGTTCAACGAGAGAAACAGAGGCGGTGGGAGATGGAAAGATAAAAAGATAAAAATAAGCCAGGGCAGTGGTGCACACCTGTCATGCCAGCAGGCAGGAGGCTGACGCAGGAGGATTGCTGTGATTTTGAGGCCAGCCTGGGCTACAGAGTGAGACCCTGTCTGAAAAAACCGACAGAATGAAAGCTATAGAGTTAGAAATACAGATATGTGCAAGTACACAGAGATTTATTACAAGAAGTTGGCTTGCCTGTGCTGAATGTAATCATTGTGTACTGTAAACGTGTACTAATAAGTAATGATGATTTTGAAAAGAAACTGCGGGGCTGGGGATTTAGCTCAGCGGCAAAAAGCGCCTGCCTGGCAAGCGCAAGGTCGTGAATTCGGTTCCTGGTACCAGAGAAAAACAAACAAACAAACAAAAACAAACAAACAAAAAAAAAAGAAACTGGCTTGCTAAAGCGGCAGCTGGCAAAACCAGCAGCTTAGTCCATTTCCTGTTGCTCTAATGAAACACCTGAGGCTGAATGTTTTATAGAGAAAAGAGGTTCATTTCATTCACAGTGCTAGAGCTCAGTCTGGCTCTGGTGAGGACCTCCTGGTGGCAGCGTCACAGGCGCGGGCTGGAGAGGCAGACAGACAGGGAAACGGGGGACAGGGAGAGAGGTCGTGCACTAGACAGTGACAGGGATTCGGAGGCAGTGGAGGCTCAGCGAGGAGCCCCTCTCCCCCAAGAGCAAGGAGCCCTAGTCCCTGTCACAAACCCAACCCCCTCCCACAGGCCCCACCTCCTAACGTCAAAGTTTCCACCTTGAGGGGACCAAGGCTGCTCCACACACCTGACCCACTGGGGACAAACCAGCCCCAGCCACAGCAGCCAGGCTGCAGTCAGGACAGGAAGGTCTGAGGGTCTCGCCTGATTAGGCCAGGCCCACCCTGAGCCACCTCCCAATTGGTTGACTGCAAGCCCACCAAGGACAGGCTTTATTCTGCACACCCTCCCCAGCCGCATCTCAAGGAGTGTCTGGTTTTGGGTTTTTTTTTTGGTTTTTTTTTTTTTTGTTTTGGTTTTTGGTTTTTTGGTTTTTTGGTTTTTCTCCGGTACCGGAAACCGAACTCACGACCTTACGCTTGCCAGGCAGGCACTTTGCCGCTGAGCTAAATCCCCAGCCCCAGGAGTGTCTGTTTGATTAAAGAGGTGCTGCGTGCCAGCCGGCCAGGTTGTCTCACAAAACAGACCATCAGATTCCACCCCTCCCATACAGCTCTGTAAACCACACCTCCTCTCCAAATAAAGGTGACACCAGAGTCACTGCCTGTGAGCACAATACAGCTCACCCTGCACCCCCAGAACTGTGCCACCCCTTCCCCAGAGGACGGTGTGATGTCCTCCCGAGGTGTTCATGCTGCCCCTTCAGTATCCTGCAACCCTGTACCGATCCCCAAAGTTAACAATGACATCCACACCCTGTGCTAGTGATGGGGCAGGAGAGAGTGGATAAAACAAATATTTGCCAAGCTAGGCATGGAAGGAGACAGCTGCAATCCCAGCACTCTGGGAGCCTGAGGCAGGAAGATCACAAGTTCAAGCCCAGCCAGGACAACTTAATGAGACCCTGTCCCAAAATCAAAGGGGGCTGGGGATGTAGCTCAGTGTGATGGCCCTAGGTTCAATCTCTAGTACTACAAAAAGAATTTTAAAAAAAGACAAAACAAAACAAAACAAAAAAGCAGCTGCTTCCACCGCTGTGATGCGGAGCTGAGGTGGCCGCAGCCCCCTGGTGGTGGCCAGCAGCCATGGTGATGGTTGTCATGGTGACCATGGGCCGTGGATATGGTGATGGGGGACAGTGGGTTTGGTGATAGTGTGCCTGGTGCTGGGTGGCCTGGCGACAGGGGCTGTGCTGGTGGGTGGCCGTGGTGACTGATGTAGTGGATGGTGCCCAGCCCGCCTGTGTCTCTTTCAGTGGCGGAGGAGCCTGTGCCTGAGGACCGCTACCACGCCATCTACTTCGCCATGCTGCTGGCTGGCGTGGGCTTCCTGCTGCCCTACAACAGCTTCATCACCGATGTGGACTACCTGCACCACAAGTTCCCAGGTGCGTGGCGCGGAGCCCTGGTGGCGGGCCCCCCAGCCCTTGCTTTCTCTCCTTTTTTTTTTTTTTTTTTTGGTACCGGATACTGAACTCAGGACCTTGCGCTTGCGAGGCGGGTGCTTGTGCCCTACGACTTGCTGTCAAGTCGGGCCTCAGCCATGCACCACTGAGTGCGCTCAGGGCGGCCCCCAGCCTTTTCTGGACCCAGGAGGGAACCTGCAGGGTGGGCAGGGGTGGGGCTGCCGCCAGCACCTGTCCCCACTCATCCGCACAGGGACCTCCATCGTCTTCGACATGAGCCTCACCTACATCCTAGTGGCGCTGGCAGCCGTGCTCCTCAACAACGCCCTGGTGGAGAGGCTGAGCCTGCACAGTAGAATCACCACAGGTGAGCCCCACCGCTGCCCGGGCCTCACTCACTCTTCTGTAAAATGGGCACATTTCCCAGGACACTGCAGGCTTCCGTGCTGGAGGACAGGGCCAGGCTGGGCTCCTCTGCAGCCTCGGAGGCCCTGAGTGCCATCCTTGGGCTCCACACAAACTTTTCCTTTGTCTCTCTTTTTTTTTTTTTCTTTTTTTCTTTTTTGCCTTTTTTTTTGAGACAGGGTCTTGTTATGCAGTTCAGGATGGCCTCGAGCTCACTTTGTAGCCCAGGCTGGTCTCAAACTCACAACAATCCTCCTGCCTCGGCCTCCAGAGTGCTGGGATTACAGGTGTGCGCCACCACGCCCGGCAAACTTTTCCTTTCTCAAAGTGCCCTCTTCTTTCTTGTGGCTCTTTGTGGAGTCATCCAGCCTGCAACAGCGCCTCCCCCAGGAAGCCCTTTGGGTTCGCCCCTCCTGGACCTGCCAGGTGTCTCAGCATCCAGCGGCAGGTGGCGGGAGCAGGAAGGGAGCACTGACCCCTCTTCTCACAGGCTACCTCCTGGCCCTGGGGCCCCTGCTCTTCATCAGCGTCTGCGATGTGTGGCTGCAGCTCTTCGCACACAATCAAGCCTACGCCATCAACCTGGCCGCTGTGGGCACCGTGGCCTTCGGCTGCACAGGTAGGGGTCCAGCCACGCACAGCTCCGCACCCTCCACCCGCGTCACCACGGCCCTGGGCCCCTGGGGCTGTAGCTCAGACTTTCTCGTGGTACTAGGGGTCGCACCCAGAGGCTGCACTGTGAGCTGTACCCCAGGCCCTTTTTATCATTTATTTTGAGACAGGGTCTTGCCAAATCACTGTCTCCCAGGCGGGGCTCAAATTTGTGATCCACCTGCCTCAGCTTCCCAGAGTGGTGAGATGACAGGCGTGTGCTGCCTTGCCTGGCTGACTCTCAAATGTAAAAGACTTTTTATGTAAAATATGTCAAAGCTACAGAGAGATTGCCAGGATCATACAACGGCCTCCAGGTGCCCCTCCGCCCCTCCTCCTCAATGCATCCGTTTACCCTCCATACAGGCACAGGCCACATCACCCGTAGCTGCTCATTCCTGGTCAGCAGCTCTGCTGTCTGGACTCCTACTCAGCGTGTGTCTCTCGTGAACCGCACGCCAGGTGCCAAAATCCGGAAATTCCCCACCCACACAATGCTGGCATTTCTTTGTCTGGCCCAGATCCACCCCGGGATCACACCCAGCGAGTCGCTGCCATCCCTTTTTGTCCTCTGTAATCTGCGGCGGTTCCTCTGCCCGACCTTGGCATTCACAGCAGTGGCATCGTTTAGGGTCCAGGCTGGTGGTCTTGAAGATGTTCGGACCTGTTGGTTTGTTTGCTTTTGGTGGTGCTGGGATGGAACCCAGGGCCCTACACAGCTGAGCAGCGCTCTACCGCCAAGCGGAACTCCAGCCCTCAAACTTTGTCTTATTTGTTTGTTTGTTTGTTTGAGACCGGATCTCACTATGTAGTGCGGGCTGCCGTCACACTTGCTATGTCCCCCAGGCTGGCCTTGAACTCCCAGAAATCCTCCTGCCTCAGCCTCCAGGGCGCTGGGATTGCAGGTGTGTGCCACTGCGCCCACAGGTTGTCTTTAACCATGACTTTCAGAAAGAAATAGATTCGGTACAGTGACCCCCTAAATGCGCATACGTGTACAAATCAAGGCTTCATGAAATCGTGCTTTCCACCCAGGCATGTTGCTCATGTTTTTTATATTTTAAATACCAATACTTCAACAGGCGTGGTGCCACACACCTGTAACCCCAGCTACTGGGGAGGCTGAGGCAGGAGGGTTGCTAGTTGGAGGCCAGCCTGGGCAATTCAGCAAGACTCTGCTTCAAATTTTTTAAAAAATGTGAAAAAGACTGAGGATGTAGCTCAGCACTTCCTAGTTTTGATTCTTAGTACCAAAGAAAGGAAGAAGAGGGGAAAAAAGGAGGGGAGGAGCTGCAGCAGGGTGGGGCTCATTCAGGTTGGGGCAGCCGCCCACCCCGCCTGGTCCTGCTGAGGACATGTGTGTGGAACGGGAGGGGAGAGGCCTGAGGTCTTGGTGGCTTCTTTTTTTTTTAGTTTTTTTGTTTTGTTTTGTTTTTCTCTGGTACCAGGAACCGAACTCACGACCTTGCGCTTGCCAGGCAAGTGCTTTTGCCGCTGAGCTAAATCCCCAGCCCCTTGGTGGCTTCTTAAAGCAAGTTTCCTTCTCACTCGGGCGGCGGCCGTGTTCCAGTCTCCGGGGATGCAGGCCCACAGCCCCATCCACGTGTGGCCTCCTGGGTCATGCTGGTGGGTGACAGGAAGCTAACCACCCCCCAAGTCTGCACTGCCCGGTCTGGCAGTGACGCATGCATTTCTGCTCCTGTCCCACTGGGCAGGACTGGTGATGATCCTGAGCACCCCGAAGGCAGGACCGTGGGCGGCCTTGATGCCCTGTTCGGGGGCAGCACTGTCTCCACTGAGTGCCATGACATCAAATCCCTCTGCCCAGCCAGGCGTGGTGGCACAGGCTTGTAATCCCAGCACTCTGGAGGCTGAGGCAGGAGGATCATTGCTAGCTCAAGGCCAGCCTGAACTGCATAGCAAGACCCTGTCTCAAAGAGACAAAATAAAAAAGCAAACGCCTCTGCCCTGGACACCGACCCTGCATCTTTTCACACCTTCCCCGGCCAGCAGGAGCTCTGGCTATGCACACAGTGTGCGCCCGGCGGGTGACAAGCGGTGTCTCAGGTTCCCTCTCTCTCTCTTAAGTGCAGCAATCCAGCTTCTATGGGTACACAGGGATGCTGCCCAAGAGGTACACGCAGGGGGTGATGACGGGGGAGAGTAAGTATTGCACATCCTGAGGGGCACCGGGTTGCACGGGGTCTGGGGGCCTCTTCCTGGGGACCGGGTGGGGCTCAGCAGCTGGCTGTGTGTGGGTGGCCCTGGAGGACACGTTTGTGCGTGTGCGTGTGTGTGTCAGGAGGCTACATGTGTGTGTCAGGAGGCCCGTAGTCCCACAACATCCCGTGCTACTCTTCGGCACCAGGCTTTCCTCAGGGCCCTGGCCCCACCCAGCACCTCTGCTCAGCCCCCTCCCTACCCAAGGGTCCCAGTGACGTCCCATTAGCAACAATCCACCTCCCTGCCACTCAGTAAGAACCACGGCCCCCAAATTACCCAGCACCCGGTCCTCCTCCTGTCCCCTGGCCCTGCCCTCCAGGCAGACTCCTGACTTGTCCCCTCCCTCCACTTCCCAGGGCAGGCTGCTGACCCCCAGCCCTAGCCTGACCCACACAGGGCCCTGGGCTCTGAAGCGCCCTCGTCCTGAGCTGCCCAGGCAGGGCCCGCCAGGCTGTGTCTCCCGCTGGCGGCATTGGCAGCCCTGGGCGATGCTGTGCTCTGGGGCCTGGTTCCGGGAGGAGAGCCGGGCACGGTTGTGGCAGGCTGAGCCAGGTTGAGCTAGCAGATTGGGACACTGTGTGTAGCCAAGAAAGATCTGCTGGGGGTCCTGGCCACCCGAGGGATGGCACAGCAGCCGAGACCCTCCCCCCAACACTGCCCGCTGCCATGGGCCTTAGCTGAACCTAATGAAGCCCCCGCACTGGTTGTGGCTGTCAGGACCCCACCACCACCCGCCCCTCAACCTCGGCTCTTGCCCCAGGGCCCCGGCCCTGCTGTGCCCCGCTCCTCACCTGCGCGCAGGTGCAGGGCTCTGCCAGCCCCAGCCAAGGACTCGCGTCCCGGTCTGCACTTGGCTCCCTTGCCATGTAGACCCTGGCTTCAAGGTCCTCTCCTGGGACACAGACCCTCTCACACGCGCGCACACACACATTGCACCTTTGTGCGCCCCGGAGGACCCTGCTCTTTCTGTGGCCTGTCTGGGACCTTGCCTAGCAAGGGGCCCTGTGTCAGCTGCAGTGGGTCCTGAGGCTGGGAAGGGCTGGCCGCGCCGGGGATGTGGGTGCGGCAGGTGTAAGCCTGCACAGCTCCTGGGGCCCAGGACGGTGGCAGGAGGTCTGGTCCCCCCCACCCCGAGTTAGGGGGACAGTGAGACCCGACTCCGAGGCAGGGCTGGTGGGGCGATGGACCAGACGGATCTGGTCTGGGAGGGTGCTGGAGGAGGCGGGCCTGGCGGGGTTGTGAGGAGTTGGGGTGATGGACGGGCGGAGCTCGGTGGGCGTGGCCGCACGGAGGTGGGGTGGGGCTGGGGGCGCAGGGGGCTCCAGCCCCTCCCGGTTCTGCCCCCAGGCACGGCGGGGGTGATGATATCCCTGAGCCGCATCCTCACCAAGCTGCTGCTCCCAGACGAGCGCGCCAGCACGCTCATTTTCTTCCTGGTCTCCGTGGGCCTGGAGCTGCTGTGCTTCTTGCTGCACTTGCTGGTGCGGCGCAGCCGCTTTGTGCTCTATTACACCACGCGACCGCGAGACAGCCGCCTGGGCTGCAGGGCAGGCTACCGCGTGCACCACGACGTCGCCGCGGGGGACATCCACTTCGTAAGTGCTCGCGCCAGGCCCCGGGTGGCCCAGCCTCTGTCATTGTCACCAGATGCAGAGGGGCACCAGCCCTGACCTGGCTGAGTTTCTCCCCTGGGACCATTGTCACAGGGGCTCCAGGCACCCGCAGCTGCTGTGCCCCACGATGCGGGGTGTGCATGGTCCCCGCCCACAGTGGCACCCACATACTGCAGACTAAGGCTCCCGTGCGCGGGGGCAGCAGGGTGGGGCTCCTGATGCCGGCCCAGCCTGGCGGAAGCTCCGCTAACCCTCTGTCCGTCGGAACAAGACCTGGGGGTGGGGGACACAGAGGCTCCCCCTTCCCTGGGTTTTGCTCTGCCGGGGCCAAGGAGAGGGACCCAGGACGCGGGGCAGGGCGGCCCTGACACAGCCTCCGACACAGAGGTCACCAGAGCCAGCAAGAACCCGGGAACCCCCGGCCGAGAGGCAGGGCCTCTGCTGAGGGCGGGGCCCAGCTGGGAGCCGGGTGCCCTCTGGTGGCCGCAGGGCAGTAGAGCTCCTGAGGTACCTGGGGCAGAGCGGGGCTGCCCTTGGGCCGCTTAGTACTTAACAAACCGCAGCCATGATAGTGGGGCAGACACTGATTCAGGGCGCCCCCCGCCCCATGGAGCCCACAGATCCAGAGTCGGCTGGGATGAAAGAGGACAGGTCTGGGAGTGCGTGGGGGGTCAGGCCGGGGGTGCAGAGACCATTGGAGGGTGGGTGTGCAGATCAGGCTGGGAGTGTGTGCAGGGGAGCTAGCGGGTGGGAGGCCTTGGGAAAGGTGAGCACTTAGGGTTAGGTTTACACTTCTGTAATCCCAGCTACTTGGGAGGCTGAGGCAGGAGGATTGAACCCTGGGCAATTTAGCAAGGCCCTGTCTCAACTGTAAATGCACCGCAGCTCGGTGCCCCCTGGGTTCAATCCCCAGTACAGAAAAAAGAAAGAAAACTGAGAGACCTAGGTAAATGAGGGATAATTCTGTAAACAGCAGGCGCTCGCTGGACGTGAGCCCGAGGCGGCGCTCCTCCTCTTGCGTCAGGTGTTCGCCCGGTCCCTCCCGTATGTCCCCTGCACCGAGCCCCGTCTCCTTCCAGGAGCAGCAGGCCCCGGCCCTAGCCAGCAGTGGGTCCCCCAAGGATAGTCCGGCCCATGAGGCGACCCGCGGCTACGTGCGCTTCGACGTCCCGCGAGCGCGGGTGGAGCGGAGCTGGCCCAGCTTCCGAGGTGAGCGCGGCGCCCGTGCGCGCGCGGATGGCACCTGGGCCCCGCGGGCGCCGCGCTCTGACCCGCCCGTGTCCCCAGCCCTCCTGCTGCACCGGTACGTGGTGGCCCGGGTCATCTGGGCCGACATGCTGTCCATCGCGGTTACCTACTTCATCACGCTGTGCCTGTTCCCCGGCCTGGAGTCCGAAATCCGCCACTGCGTGCTGGGCGAGTGGCTGCCCATCCTGGTCATGGCCGTGTTCAACCTCTCAGACTTCGTGGGCAAGGTGGGTGCGAGGAGCCGGGGCCCTGCTGCGGGGACGGGACCCAGGCACAGCGAGTGGGCGCGGCCAGCGCCGAGTCCCCGTCTCCTGCGGCGCCCCCTGGAGGGCGCCCCGGCCTGGTCTCACGGGGCCGCTCCCGAGTGTCCGCTGACAGCCGCGGCTGCGCAGTGGGGTTGCCCCGCTTACGAGATTAAGCTTGCGCCCCTGAAGTCCCTGGAGATGGCAGGAACTCAGAAGAGCCAGTGCGGGCTGGTTCGAGTCTTCTGGTGCCTCCTGCAGGTCTGGGATGGGAAGGAGGTTGGTGAGCTCAGAGAGGGGAAGCCGTTTGTCTAGGCTCACACAGCAGAGAGGTCCAGGAAGTGAGTCACTGGGTCTCCAAAGAGCACAGCTGTGTTCACGAGTCCCAACCCCATCCTGCTGCTGTCCAGCTGTTTGATGAGGGGACTCAAGTCCTGTGGCCCCATTTCTCAAAGGGAGTCGCCGTCCCACCTCTGGAGAGCACCGTGGGCTGTGCGCAGACGCCCAGCTCGGACTGCGTAGATTGGGAGGGTCTCGGGGGCCCCTGGAGAGGGTGGGACTTGGGCAGAGCAGGGCACAGGCGCCGGGGGACCCACACGCTCGCTGCCCGCAGATCCTGGCCGCCCTGCCCGTGGACTGGCGGGGCCCCCACCTGCTGGCCTGCTCCTGCCTGCGCGTGGTCTTCATCCCGCTCTTCATCCTGTGCGTCTACCCCAGCGGGGCGCCTGCCCTCCGCCACCCAGCCTGGCCCTGCGTCTTCTCCCTGCTTATGGGCATCAGCAACGGCTACTTTGGCAGCGTGCCCATGATCCTGGCGGCTGGCAAAGTGAGCCCCCGGCAGCGAGAGCTGGCAGGTAAGGCCGCTGCCCCAGCGACGGCAGGGAAACGGAGGCCGGGAGGTGCCACAGCCGGGCAGCCTCACGTACCCGTAGGGGGCATCCGCCCATCGTCTCATTCGTTCATCCTGCACCTCCCTGGGGAGATGCCCGTTTGTGCTGGGCACTGTGCCAGGCACTGGGGACACGGTCTCCCCACACTCGTGGGATCACAGCCCAGAGATGAGACAGCCAATAGCACAGAAGACAAATAGACGTGATGTCACATGGGAGTAAGTAGTGTGGGGAAACGGAAGTTGGAGAAATGGGAGCAGGCACACACCTATAATCCCAGCTCTCTGGAGGCTGAGGCAGGAGGATCACGTTTGAGTTCAAGCCCAGCCTGGGCTACATAGTGAGTTCAAAAACAAAACAAGGGGCTGGGGATTTAGCTCAGTGGCACAGAGCCTGCCTGGCAAATGCAAGGTCCTAAGTTTGATCCCCAGGACCAGAAGAAAAAAAAACAAAGGAAATAGAAGCAGCAGCAGGATGCAGCAGAAGACTGAGGGTTCACAATGTACCGAGAAGGTGGTTTCTGAGCAGGCTGGGAAGTAGTGGGGGGGCAGCCATATGAAGATGCAAGGGAAGTGGGGCCCAGTGGTGGGAGTGGCACATGCAAAGGCCCTGAGGCAGAAGCAGGCATGTGTGCCACAGCCAGGGACACACATGGAGGTGGGTGGGTCTGTGACCGAGGAGATGCTGCAGCCGTCCAGGCCTGAGATGACAGAAGTGATACCCAGTGTGGACACTGCTGTGGAGCTGGGAGAAGGTGCTGGGTCTCAGATGTTTTGAAGGTACAGCCCATAGGGCTGGTGATGATGGGAGACGGGTGTAAGAGAGTTGGCGGGCACACCCACATACAGGGTCCACTGCTCAGGACGAGAGCCGGTGGCTCTCATGACTGTGATCCCAGAACTCTGGGAGGCTGAGGCAGGAGGATCACAAGTTCAAGCTCAGCCTGGGACTCTTAGCAACACCCTGCCTCCAAATAAAAATAAAAAGCACAAGAGATGTAGCTTAGAGTAAGGGTCCTGAGTCCGATCCCCAGGACCACTGTCCCCTCTCAAAAAACAGGAAGAGGAGGGAGAGGAGGAGGGTGGCAGTGCAGGCGGCTGAGACGGGGAGGGGTCGCGTCGGGTTTGGGACTGACATAACAGAGACGCCCTTCAGACTCCCAGTTTGTCCCGACAAGGCTGGAGACAGGGGCTAGAGATAGAAACAGTTGGGGGCGGAGAAGCAGGTGAGGCCCGGGCCCCCAGCGGAGGAGGAGGAGGAGGAGGAGGGGACAGCCCTGCGGGTGGCACCACGCAGCGTCACAGGCTCCCAGGGCTGGCGCTGTCTCCGCACTGCACAGCCGGCACGGCACGGCCTCACGCACACGGCTGCCCGCCTGCCCGCTCAGGCCCCTGTCACCCACAGGGAACACCATGACCGTGTCCTACATGTCGGGGCTGACGCTGGGCTCCGCCGTGGCCTACTGCACCTACAGCCTCACCCGGGACGCCCACAGCAGCTGCTTCCGTGCGGCCGCCGCCAACGGGTCCCTCGTCACAGGGCCCTGAGTCCTGCCCGCGCGGCCCTGCCCAGCGAGGCTGCTCCGCAGCCGGGACAGCTGAGGCCCCCTCCCTGCCTGCCTGCAGTGCCTCGGGCCCAGCCGGCCTCCTCCTGTGCCAAGGGCCCCGCCTCTCCGGGTGCAGCCGCCCGGCCGGCCTGGGCCCCCTGCACTGTGCCCCACACACCCTCCGCCGCGTCAGGCCAGCACCTGGTGGGGCCTGTGCCCAGGATGGCAGACCCAGAGCCTCAGGGTCCCGCTCCCGGTGACCCCGCCACAGGGTCTGCTCCGAGATCTCCCGGTCACCATCGCCGTCCACAGCGCGTCTGGGGAGGGCCCACCTCGTGGCCCTTGAGGAGGGGTGCAGTCCCCAGCCCGGCACCCTCAGGCCTCGCCCCTGCCGCTTGTCCTTGAGCGCTGTGGAAGGAGGATGACCCTGGCCTCGGTGTCCCTGGCGCGGAGCTGGCCCGGGAACACCCTGCCCCAGGCTTGGGCCCTCTGCCGGGCCCTTGCTGCCCCCTGCCTGGCCGCGGCAGAAGCGGGGCTGAGTTTGGGGGCCATGAAGCAGCTCCTCCCTGAGGCTGCCCCGCCCTGGCTTGGCTTCCCCCTCGGGGTCTTCCGGGGAGGGACACCTTGTGCCCAAGGGTCCGCGGCAAGGCGGGCGGGCTGGTGTCACTGCAGGTGGCCGGGCTGACTCCGGGGCACCCTGCCAAAGACAGCTTTCCCAGGGGACAGTCCCAGAGCCCCGTGTCCCCAGCCCTCGCTGCAGCCATGCCGTCCCCGCCTGCTGTGGCCCATCCCCCTGTGTGTCCTCTAACTGTACCGCACTGGCCATTAAAAGACGGCAGCTGAGACTGCCCCCCCGCGTCTCCTGGGAAGTGTTCGTGGGCGTGCAAGGCCGGGGCTACGAGGTGGCTGCTGGCGTGGAGGGGGCCGGGACTCGGTGGGGCGGGGGGCGGGAGCACTGGGACTTGGAGCAAGTGCCTTTCAGCCCTCAAAGGATCTGGGAGATCGGCCGCACCCAGCCCACGGCCGAAAACGGAAGCTGCCACGGATCCAAGAACTGGGCCTTCTGCCTCAGGTCCTGCTGTTGCTGATTTGTGCAACTCAAATTCCTGTGCCTCGGTTTCCCAAGGATTGGGTTGGGATATAGGTCCCTTGGAGGAGGCCAGAGAGCCGCCTAAGGGCCAGACCTGTAGCACCGGGCGGGATGCTGGACACAGGTGTGCACAAACCACAGCAGTGTCAGAGATTGCCACCAGGTGGCGCCAGGGCGCCGCTCTTCAGGTTGGAGACATCCACCTGGCTCCTGCCTCAGGTTCTCTGCCACTCAGCTCTTTCCTCTGCTCATTCCCCACGTTAATGCTTGCGGTCATCCTGCCTCTTTTGCAACCCGGAAATACAGTAGCAAAGCCCAGGATGTCATCACCAGCCGTCTAAACTGACCAGGTCATGAGCAGCCAGGACCCATGCTGGCCTCTCCAGGTCCCAGAGGTATGGGCTTGGGGCCCCTCAGCATCTCCTGCAGGAGTGGGCACAGCTGGGAGCATTTCTGCTCTGCTTTGTACAGGAAAAGCAGATGTGAACCTTCCAAGGGCCTCTGGCCAAGGGAACATGGTCTGTGTCCTCCAGAAACCAGACATGGCAGAGCTACCAAACTTCTACTGACTTAATTTCCCCCTGTACTGAGGATGTTTTTTAAAAACTTTTTTTTTTTGATAGGAGCTTGCTAAATTGTCCAGGTTGGCCTTGAATTTGTGATCCTCCTGCCTCAGCCTCCTGAGTATCCAAAATTATAGGTGTGCACCACATCCGACTTAACCCAAATAGCCATGTGTTGCCTGAGCCACTGGGCCCAATTTCTCATCTCCCCTACTCAGAGTGCCTGGAAGGACAGCCCCCAACCCCGGCCCCTCAACACAAGGTGGCCCAATGGCCCCAGACACTGGCCCCACCCCAGCCCCTGAAATAAATCACTCCAAGCAACTGTGGTTTTTTCCAATTAAATTTTTTCTTTTTTCTTTTTTTTATGAAAAAGATCACACAGAATTTGCCAACGAACAAAATTCCAAAAGAAACTTAAAAAAAAAAAGAAAAACAATAATTCCCCCGAAATAACAATACCAAAGTCTGGCTTTCCCTTCCCTAGATTGTCTGCTGGAGGCCTCCGGTGGGTTCCGGTTCTGGTTCCAGAAGGCGGGGGCTGGCTAAGTGCTATCTGGCCCAGCGAGGGCAGGGGGCGAGGGCGGACGGCCCCCCGCCTCTCCCTCCCTCCTCCTCCTCTGTCTGGGGGCGAGCACAGTGCGGGGGGACGGGGCGGGGTGCTGGGGCCGGGCAGTGAAGCCGGGTGCTGGACACTCACAATCTAACAGGAAATAAAAAATAATATTCCGCACGTCAGAATGTGTTTGCTTTTTTTCTTATAATTTCATAGCTATTTTTTCACAGTTTTAAAAAGTTTATATTTATATATATTTATATATATTTATCTTTATATATATAGTTAAAAAGTTGACTCCATTTAAAGGCGTATGATACAGGGGTGGGGGAGTCGCTCTCGGTACAATAAAACTGTACAGGTTAAGGACCCGCGCCCTCCGGCTGGGCGGGCGGCTGGGGGGGTCAGCACCATGGGGGGTCTGTAGTGTGAGGGGCTGGGCTCCCCTCCCCCGCCCCAAGTCCAGGCCGGCCAGAGACGGCGGAGGCGGAGGCGGCGGCGGCGGCAGCGGCGGCGGCTGGATGCGGCGGGCCGCGGCGCTGTCTGTGAGGGCCTCGGACCGACCGCTGCGCAGGGAGAGCTCGGCCTGGCTCCTCGGGAACCCTGCCCTCGCGGCCGGGTCTGGGTGGCCCCGGCCGCGCCCCGCGAGCTCGAGGGTGCTTGGGGCGCAGCCGGAGGGGGCGGGCCGTGTGCACACGTGCATGCATACGGGCACACGCACGCACCCTCACTTGCCCGGGCGGCACGGGCGCGCTGACATGCACACGCGCGTGTCCCGCGCCGGGGCAGTGACGGAGGCCGGGCGCTCAGCACAGCACGGGCACGCCGTCCGTGGAGAAGATCATGCCCGTGGTGGGCTCGTAGGTGCCCGCGAGGTAGTACAGGCCCTCGCTGTCCTGGTACTTCTTGGTCTTCAGCATCTGCTCGTACTGCTCCAGGCCCACCACCAGGCACTTGTGCGACACCGTCTGCACGTCGTTCTCGTCCACGTGCGAGGACTGGTACAGGGCGCGCTGCAGGCAGGGGCGGGCGTCAGGAACCAGTCCCCAGAGGCAGGGAAGAGCCAGAGACGGACGGAGGGACGGAGACCGAGCGAGCAAGGGCAGGGGAGACAGCCTGGGGGACGCAGGCACAGGAGGAGAAGGAAGACACGCGTGGGCCGGCTGCTGGGCCGCTGCCCCTACCTCCATGAAGTCCTTCCTCTGGCTGGAGGCCCGCAGGGCCGCGGGGAGGCTGCGGCCAGACTTCTGGTCCCAGGGCTGGTGGGGACAGACAGACTGGGGTGAGCCTGGCCCGCCCCGCCCCCACGCCCCCCAGCTGAGACCTCCCGGCCCTTCAGGGTCCCGTTGGGCCGAGCTCACCTGGCCCTCATGGAGCTGCCGGCCCGGGCTGGTCTCCTCCGGGTGGTAGAACCACTTGACGCGGACCACCATGTTGTTGCCCCACGACTCCCACATGCTCTGGATGCGGCCGATGTAGGGCAGGTTGGGGCGGCCCGCCGACAGGAACACGGCGCAGTCCCCGATGCGGATCATCTCCTTGCCGCGCACGATGGCCTTGTAGAAGAGCTTGCGGGCCTTGCCCTTCATGCCCCGCCGCTGTGGGCCGAGCGACAGTCAGGGCTGTGACCGGGCAGGGCCTCCTTTGGGCCACCCGAGCCCTGGCCTCTCTGGGTCACCGCTGCCCCTCAGGGGCGCTGCCTCGGGTGGGCCAGTGCAGGAGGTGACATGGGGGCTCCTGACACTGAAAGGGCCTTCAGCTCCCGCCCTGGTGCCATGGGTGTGCTCCGGAGGCCCGCACCCATGTGACACCACTCCCCGCAGGCCACCTGTGGTCCAGCGCCACCCTCGCCCACAAGGGGTCCTCACCCGAGACCGGGTTGGCTCCCTGCAAAACCCACTGTCTAGGCAGGGCACGGCACGCGGGGTCCAGGGAGAGGGTCCCTAAGTCCACCCCTTGCTGCCCTGTCCCAATCTACCCAATCGATGACCCCTGGTGCAGAGCGGCCCTGGGGGTGGGGGTGCTGCTTGCTCATGGCTGTGAAAAGGAGCCCCCAGAATAAAGTGAAAAGGACCCTGTCCCAGGAACAGAGCCTCAGACGAGCAGATGCCACACAGCACCCTTCTGAGGGGTCAGTACACCAGGAGCAGGGGGCTGGGAGTCACACCCATCCTGAGTGTGGGCTAAGGGCTGACCCAGCCAGGACAACATCCCCCCGCCCACTGGCACGGCTGCCAACTGACCTGGCGCTAGCCCTTCCTGCTGGCTTCTTCGTGTGTTGGGGGTTGGCTTATTCATTCAACAAACACTTCCCACCCAGCCTTGGGCAGCCCCTGGAAGCACTTGGCTCCAGTAACACCATCCCCTGGGGAGAAACCCCTCCCCAGAAAGTAAGCAGGCTCTGCCCACCACCCCGCTACACGTCCTCAGCGCAAACTGAAGTCTAGAGCCGGCGTCCCAAGGTGGAAGCTTCCGCCTGCGCGCAGCACCCCACGCACAGACCCCACCTCGCCGGCCTCCCCTTCCAGCCACGCTGCGGCGGGGACGGGTATAGGGCTGCAAATGGCTCCGAGCCCCTTCAGCTCAGGAACAGGGGCCCGCAGAGGGGGCTGAGTGACTGCCACAGAGGTGTTTCTGCCGCCCAGCACCTGCTCCCCTTGGCAGATGCCCCTGGTCTGAGCAGTCGGAACGTCCCAGCTTCCTGCTGGCCACTGTGACTGGCTCCGGAGGGGCCCGGAACCCAGGCCAACACTCAGCCGGCTTCACAGCCCTGGAAGGGACCTGCTCCCCACTGTGGCTCCCGAGTTGGGAGAACATGCCCCGAAAACCACTGCACCTGTCTGCTGCTTAGGAAGCAGGGCTGCCCACGGAGATCAGCACAGGAGGAGGACACCAAGCTGAGGCCTGGCGTGTGGAGTCAGGAGGGGTCTGAAGACCACCTTCCAGCCCCCGATCCACCTGTACCTGCAGCTGGACACCCTGAGCCTTTCTGCTAAAGCAGCCAAGAAGTCCGACCTTGTGGGTTTAAGTCAATCTTGGGTCTCTTCCCTTTGTAGCACCAAGGGGGACAGGACCCTGGACACAGCCGCACACCCGTTCTCCGGCCCAGGCTGGCTCAGCTGCTAACCTGGGTGGGCTTGCCGAACCACTTCCAGAGCTGCCGCGCGGGCAGGAAGGCTGCGATTTTGGGCCGGTTTTCCACGGAGGGCAGGCGCTGCCGCTTGGCCAGCTCCTTGGTGGTGGGCAGGTGCACACCCTCGCGCTTCTTGGGGCGGCTCTTGGCCCCAGCCTGCATTTTGGGCTGCAGGGGCTTCGCGGGCTGGGGTGGGGGCGCTGGTGGCTGCGCGGCGGGCGCCTTCTTGCCCGAGGAGTGGCCCGAGGAGCGGGCCTTGCTGGCTGGCTTGGGAGCCTTGGGCAGCGCTGGCTGGCTGGAGGGGCCAGGCGTGGGCGCGGGGTTCGCCTCATCGTCCGAGCTACAGGAGGAGTCCTCGTCCGTGGTGGAAGAGGAGGAGGAAGAGGAGGAAGAGGAGGAGGAAGAGGAAGAGGAAGAGGAGGAAGAGGAGGAGGATGACGAGGAGGAGGAGGATGACGAGGAGGAGGAGGAGGAAGAGGAAGAGGAGGAGGAGGAAGAGGAGGAAGAAGAGGAGGAAGAGGAGGAGGAGGCCGGGGAGGATGCCCTGGAGCTGGCGGCGCTGCAGGTGCGGCCCCCTGCACCCCGGTCGTCCCCAGCGGTCTTATCGCCGTCGTCCTCGCCTTCTGTCTCCGAGCTGCTGCTGCTGCTGCTGCTACTGCTGCTGCTGCTACTGCTGCTGCTACTGCTGCTCTCCGACTCCTCTGCCCCGTCCTGCTCGGCCTGGGCCTTGTCTGGGCTCTTGGGGTCCCCAGGGTCCTCCACTGGGAGCCCCACCCCAGGCTCCTGGGCGAGGTCTCCCTCCAGACCCTTGGGCCAGGCTGCTTTGGCCTCGCCGCTGCCGGCTGCCGAGGGGTGGCCACCCAGGCCCGGCAGGCTCTTGGGCTCCTGCCAGCCCCCCGCCCCCACATCTTCCCGGAGAAGCAGGGCCTCTTTGGCCTTCTTGCTTTTGGGGGACATGACCCCCTCATGGTCCAGCTTGACGAGCAGCTCAGCTTCCTCCCCCGGCCTCCGCGGGCCCTTGGGCCCCGACTCCTCAGTGGCCCGCGCTTTCTTGGGCTTAGGGCGGGTGGCAGGTATGGCGATGGGCATGGTGACAAGGGGTGCCGGGGTCAGGGCCGCGGCAGGGGTGGGCAGCTCCCCGAAGGGCTCAGGAGCTGGGCAGCTGGCAAAAGTGGACGGCGCGGGTCCGGGCTGCGGGGGAGCCAGGCGGGCCTTGGGGGCTTTGGCCCGCTTGTCCACAGGTTCTGGGGGGTTCTTCTTGGAACTTGGGGTGCTGATCGGCTCCAGGGCCAAGGGGGTAACGGGGACCTCATCAGTGGAGGCCACCTCCTCCAAGACAGCGGCTCTGTCTGGAAAAGAGAAAACAACAAATGAAGTGGGGCCAGGGTGGGGTTACAGGCTGAAGGGCCTGAGCGAGCACACCCGCCCATGTCTGGGGCCCCTGTGTGCTCCCGGCTCGTAGCCCAGGGCGCCTCTCTGGGTGTGAGAGACTGAGCTAAAGCTCGGCTCTGCCAGTGATGACCCTTTTCCTCCCTCGGCCTGGTTCTGAGTCTGCAAGGGCACAGAAAGGGCCCCAGGCCGGATTCCTGGCCCATCTTGCTCTGTACGGGGCCCGCCAGCCCTGAGCCAACCTACCGCCCTTGGCCTTGGTGCTGGGCTTCCGCCCGCGGCCTCGCGCCTTGCCTCCTGGCTCCTCAGACCCCGCGGCGGCCCCCTCTTTGCCTTCCCCAGTGTCTTTGCTGGTTTTCCTGCTGCGGCGCTTGGCGCTGGGCACCAGGAGGGCCGGGGATGGCTCAGCACCTACAGGACACAGCAGATGGTGGCTCGAGCCTGGGTCTTTGCGGGCCCAGCTCCTCGGCTGACGCTCGCTGCAGCTCAGGGAGCAGGTCACGGTGGGGATGATTCCAGGTGAATCCCCCGAACGACCAGGAATAACCAAAGCTCTGCGCACCATGAGAGGGGATGCTGCAACCCCATTGGGAAAGTTCAAGACCCCTGAGGTTATCACCCTGGAAGTCAGTGTAGGGCAAGTCTTGCCCCGGCTCCTTCAAAGGGCCAGGGCCCTCCCTGGATGAGTCATTAACTTTTTTTTTTTTGGCACTAGGACTGAACCCAGAGCCTTTGCACTGAGCTATACACCCCAAGCTCTTTTTCACATTTTATTTTGAGATAAGGTCTCACTAAGTCACTAAGTTGCACAGGCTGGTCTTGAAACTATGATCCTCCTGCCTCAGCCTCCCAGTACTGAGATTACATGCATGCATCACCATGCTCAGCTTTAATAACCTCTTTGTGCTCCCATTTCATTGCTGGTCAAAGAAGATAGAGGCCATAAAGGACCAAGGGTAGAATCTGACACAATTGCTTGGAATCATCAAAAAACACTTGCCCTGTCGGGCGTGGTGGCGCACACACCTGAAATCCCAGCACTTGGGAGGCTAAGGCAGGAGGATCACCATGAGTGTGAGGCCAGCCTGGGCTACATAGTGAGTTTAAGGCCAGCCTGTACTACATAGCAAGACCCATCTCAAAAAAACAAAAACAAAAACAAAAACCCACTTGCCCAGCCTCTCGTAGCCTGGACCACCAAGCCTGTGGCCGCCCTCATGGATCACAGGACCCATCTGGAAGCCCAAGATCACTATCTCTGCTATTCCCTGTGGGTTCCGAAGGGCCACATGGCAACGGTCCAGGGCCGGGCAGCCCCAGGAAGGGCACCAGGAGCCGCTCGGTCACGGCCTGCGCACTCACACTGGATCTTGTAGTCAGGCGGCAGGAGGCGGATGTGCGAGAGCGGGATCCTGCCTGTGTCTCCGTCATCAAACTCCACGGTGATTAGGTCCCCGTCGTCCTCCAGGTCCAACAACCCTGCAGGGGCAGCGGGACAGGTCAGGGGCGCCGGAGCTCCAGCCCTGGGGGGTACAGGGCTGGGGATACCAGCGGTGGACACAGTGGACACAGCACGAGTGTGAAGGGCACACGGGCCCGGGCGTGCTCTACAGGTCCTGCACCTCAGCACCTGAGATGCTCCCGGAACACAGCGAAGGGCCCCAAGCCGTTGGCCCTGAGGGGTGGGACAGGAAGGACGCTGCCACCAGGACACATGCGCAGGAAATCACTGTGGTCTCAGGTTTGCCCCTGCCAGGTCCCCAGGAGGGATGGCAATGGAAGAGAACCAAGCTGGGGCCAGGGGTCCCCGACACCGGACAGACGGAGGCCTGCGGGAGCTGCGAGGTTCGCCCAGCTCTGGACTGAAGGGCACTAGGTAGAGCTGGGAGTCACCAGGACACCCACACCCTGAGCAGTGACAGCCAGGCCTTCTAGATGCAGCCATCAGGCCTGCGTCCCCACGACGCAGGCTCAGGAGTTTCAGGCTGTCCTCCGAGGTCTGGCATTGCCGGTATGGGAGTCCCTGCCACCTCCACAGTCCCGCCACCTCAACACGAGGCTGCACTCGTGCACTGAGCTTGTCATCGTTTCTCTTCATTGGGAACAGCGGTGACATCCGGAAAGTCTCTAACCAAAGAGCACAAGCCAGGCGTGGTGGCAAATGCCTGTAACCTCTGCAGGATAAGGCAGGAGGATCAAAGGTTCAAACCCGGCCTCAACTACACAGTCAGACCCTGTGTCAAAAAACCCACAAAAACGAGAAAGAGAGAAGAACTAAGCAACACAGCAAGAGGGGGCTCAGGAGGAAAAGGAGCTAAAGAAGCCAATGTGGGAAAACTTGTCCAGAGAAGTGTTCGTTAAAAAATAGCGCACTGATGAAGCAGAAACACCCTTTTATGAAAAGGAACATTGAGCGGGGAAGACAGACCTCTTGGGAGTTTTTAAAATGATAACATGAAATTTTTAAAATTCCAGAGAACAGAAGGGGTTTGGAGGTAAAGTGAGGGAATCTCCCAGAAAACCAAACAGAAAGATAGAGACACAATAATAGGGAGGGAGACGAACTCTGAGGGCCGCCAGACCGTCTGGGTTCCAGGGCTGCAGGTGGGATGAGCACCCAGACAATGCAGTGACAGAAGCCAGAAGGCTCCTGGGGCTGAAGGGCTCTGCTGCACAGTCAGAGCCCCTCGCCTCTCCAAATCCCCGCATGGGAAATACACACGGGGAGAGAGGCCGGGCAGGCCCCTGGCTCCAGACCTAGAGATAACAGAAAGACCGGACAAGTTTCCGGAGAGACAAGTGGCCTCCTACGGAGATCTGAGGACTGTAACAGCGGCAAAATGCTCAAACTACACCGGAAGCTAAATAAAAACCAAACAATGACTTTGACGTGGTGAGGGGAAATGATTTCCAATCTAGAATTTACACCTCACTCGGCTCTCTCTAGAGAGTGAGAGAAAGAGGGGGCTGGGGATTTAGCTCAGCGGCACAGCGCCTGCCTGGCAAGCGTGAGATCGTGAGTTCGATTTCTGGAACTGAGAAAAGAGAGAGTAAGAGAAAGAGATGACAGATACCCAGGACAGGAGAGATTCACTTCCTGGGGGCTCCTTCTCAGGAAGCTACTGAAAGATCCTCTACTAAGACGACCAAGAAGGCCGGGAATATAGCTCAGTGGCACAAGTGCCTGCCTGGCAAGCGCAAGTTTGTGAGTTTGATTTCTGCTACCAAAAATTAATTAATTAATTAATTTTAGCCAGGCGTGGTGGTGCATGCCTGTAATCCCAGCACTCAGGAGGCTGAGGCAGGAGGACTGTTGTGAGTTCAAGACCAGCCTGGGCTACAATGTGAGCTCAAGGCCAGCCTGAACTGCATAGCGAGACCCTGTCTCAAAAAAGACCAAAAAAACAAAAAAAACAAAAAAAGACAACCAAGAAAGAGAAAGATAGGGTGCCCCACTCGGGGGAGACTGCGCAAGCCTGGGACCACAGCTGGGACCACAGGAGGACACACAGCTCCAAGACTTCAGAATCCAAGACAAACTCTTCCCATAGAGAGGGACATCCATAGGGCACTGATGGTAACTGTGTGACTAACAGATGGAAAAATGAATCTTCCAGCCCAACACCCTTGGGCTCAGACAGTAGCTGACCCCCGCTGCTTGGCTGCTGGGCATCCTCGCTTCCGTCGCTGTGCGTGTGGCCGGCCGGAAGCCAAGGAATGGGCTGCACCTGGCACACGGGCTTCAGTCTCCTCGGCACTCACGGCCCAGCTCTGGATGTGCTGGCTTGGCGGCAGCTGAGGGCGGAGCCGCCTGGGTCCCCGTCCCTCCCGCCCCTCTGACACCCCGCCTGCATCTTCTGGGGCGCCTCTTATTTTCATCTGCCCGGCTTCCATTCTCTGCTCTGCAGCCAACCTTCCCGGGAGGGCCACCTTCCCCGTCCCCCTCAGTGAAGTGTGCCAGGAAGCCGACCTCATCCTCAGCTCCAGGGACGAGAACCTGGCCCAGGCCAGCCCGTCAGACAACTGCAGCAGGGTGGGCAGACACCGCATGAACAAAGCCTTACGTGGGACTTGCGGAAAACCGGGAGAGGGCGAAAGGCTTCGACAGTTGTTAGGACAGTAACACTTCCAGGAGCTGTGCGAACCAGCCCAGGCCAGAGCGGTGCCGTGGGACACTGAGAGTCGCAGACCCGGTGAGCGCCTCTGAACAGCACCTCGGTCCAGTCTCGCCTCAGGACCCTACCGGTCCCAGGTGCGTGAGCCAATAAAAGTCTTTCTGCTTAACCCAGCCACAGCAGGCTTCTGTCGGCCCTGATACATCAGAGAGACACGGAGGGCACGTCTCACCTCGGACCACGGTGCCCGGGTAGAGGCAGCGGTACTGCTGACTCCAATAGGCCGCGATCCTGGTCCCCTGCGGCAGGAAGCGCGTGGAGGCCGGCCTCACGTCGATGATCTGGGTGGGCACAGATTGAGGGCAACAAGTCGTAACCACAGCCTCCGGCCACCCGCAGCCCAGCCCCCAGGGCCCCTCCGCCGGCTCACCGCCTCCTGCAGCAGCTGCTCCAGGCAGTAGATGTGGGGCCGGTTCCCGCGCTCCCCTTCCACCACCACACGGTATCTGCGAGGCCGGGGCGCCCTGCGTGAGGGTTGAGGCCAGCACCCCCGCCCCAGACCCCCCGTCGCGGACAGCCAGCTCTGCCCCCACCCAGGCCACAGAGGATCAGGCCTGCGGAGTGGCTGTGCGAGGGGACAAGTCCTCCCGCTGCCCGCCCGGGACCTGCGTCACTGGGTGCCGGGCCACACCAGCCCTTCTTTGGAGCCCTGGGGGCTTCACAAGTCAGTGGCCGGGACCCCGGGGCGCTGCCCGCAGCCTGCCTCCCTCGGGCCCGCGCACTCACATGTCGGGCGAGTGCACGGTGTGCACGTGGCCCGCGTACAGCAGCTTGTCGTCCATGGGGATGAGCACGCGCAGCCCGTCCTGCAGCTCGTCCTTGTCGATGACGCAGGAGCGCGGCGCTGCAGGGCAGAGGGCCATGAGTGGATGGCACGTGCTACCCAGGTGGGTGCAGACCAGGGGTGACGACCTGCCTGTGCCACCCCACCCTGCCCCAAGTGCCGGCGCCCCTGGGCTGCCCCTTGTCCGGTGCGCCCCACCCCACTGCCCACGGGGCTTTCCACGGCTTGTGCTGCGCCCACGAAGCCCGCAGCTCAGCTTCCCTGCGGGCCCCACGCACTCATGTCCGCCCCCACAGGCTGTCCAATGGCTCCGTCCTCCAACACCTGTCTCCTGGGCCCTTTCACTCCACCCCGTCGTAACCAAGACGATGCCGGCAGCGCTGCAGCCAGGCAGCAGGGACTCGCTCTCCATCCCGCCTGGCCTGCTCCCAGGCCGAGGGGACTTCCCGTGCCTGGGCGTGGCTGTGTCACTCGCCTTGGCCAAGGGCAGAAGTGGCTAAACCCCAGACTCACGCCAAAGCCCCGAGAGGCCCCGATATCCACCTGGCCCTTCAGCCTCAGCCGCGTCGCAGGGCCTGCTCCCACCGCACCGCACTGGGTCCCAGGGCAGAGTGGCATCCAGCATCCCGGGAGCCCGCTGCTGCGGGTCAGCACTGCTGCCCATGCCCTGGGACCCCAGACCCACATGCGAATGACCCAGGCACACGCATGGGGACACCCCGCTCCCCACGCCCTGGCCCCAGTGCCCGCTGGATGTGACCACCCTGGAGTGTCCTCCAGGCACCCTGAATCCTATGCGGGAAACTTCCGAGCGTGTGTGGCATGCCCCCCACAGCTTCCCCATGGATTCCAAAACCAGTCCTCGTCCCGTCTCCTCTCTGCTTGCACTGTCCCTCCCTGCAGCACCCCGTGGAGGCCCCCGGTCGTTGCCAGCTCTGTCCGGAGAGTGATCACCTCCGACGCAGACCCCGGACCTCCTGGGCCCCCAACACGTCCTCTCTGCAGCAGCCCGGTGGCTCATTTCCACACCACCCAAGCCTGCCACTCTCCACTCACAGCCAGGCCAGCCACTGTGCTCTTAGGATGGGCACCAAGCTCCTCACAGAGACGCAGGAGACGAAAGGTGATCTGCCTCTGCCTGTCCCCAGCCCCAAGGACACTCCGCCACCCCCAGAATACACAGCCAGAGCTGAACTGGCCTCTTTTTGTTGGCCCCACGGCCCGTGTACATGCTTGCTGCAGGTCAGGCCAGAGCTCAGATCAAGCTTTCTGCAGAACCCCAGGGTCCCTCTCGACACACCTGGCCCTGCAGCCCCTCACCTGGGGTCAGCGGCCGCTCCACAGCGCCCCCACGCGGCAGGTGCTCATCCTCCGAGAAGCTTGAGTCCTGGTTGGGTTCGAAGTCCTCCTCAGCGGCCATGCTCTCCATCAGCTTGCTCACAGCACCCCCCTTCCCGCGGTTCTGGGGACAGCGCAGGAGACCAACAGCTCAGGGCACTGCCCCCGGCCCCCCCGGCAGGGGACCCTCCTGAAACCTGGGGCCACAGTCATGCTGCCGTGGGACCCGGCATGTGTGCACCAGGGTCTCCAGCTGGGCGCCCCAGGCAGGAGGAGGCTGACATGGACTAAAACTGACTGCTCAGGGCCTGCAGTGCTCTGCACAGTACTCAGTACTCAGCGCGCAGCACTGCCCTGTCGACGACCACAGTAAACGCCTTGGGAAACGTGGCATCTCAAGGTGGCATCTGAAACGTGTGTCTCGGCAGGGGCTAAGTTCCTGCCTGTGCCCGACCCGACACCTGAGCAAAGCCCAAGGACCGCCGCGGGACCCAGTGCTACACTGCGTGCTCCTGCTGCCCCACAGGCTCCGCGGAGGCAGTCTGAGTCCCCGTGTTCCGATGCAGGGGCTGCTACTGGTCACCTGGCCTCACAGGACGCCCGTCCCCAGCTTCCGAAGCGCGGAGGGGGGCACAGAGAAGGGCCTCAGGGCACTGTCCCCACACCCGCCGAGGGGCCTCACCTCCTTCTTGGCCTCCTTCCCTTTGGCCTTGGCCTTGCTCCTCTTGGCGGGGGCCAGTGGGCCGGCATGAGGGGCCCTGGCCTCAGGGGGCAGGGTGGGGACGCGGGGCGGTGGCAGCGTGGCAGCAGACCCAGCCTCCTTCCCTTTCTTCTTCTGGAGAGGAAGCAAAGCAGAAGCCTGAGGGGCGGGGCGGGGCTGCCTGGAGAGCGGAGGAGGCAGGGCCCCCACACCGCCCTGGAGCCGGGACAAGACCCTGGGCTCCCTGCAAGTGCCTTTAATTTCAGTCACTTTAAATTTTTTTTTTTTTTTTTTTTTCAGATAGGGTCTTACTATATAGTTCAGGCTGGCTTTAAACTCACTATGTAGCCCAGGCTGGCCTCGAACTCATGGTGATATTCCTGCCTCAGCCTCCTGGGATGCAGGCAGTGCTGGGATTACAGGCGTGCCCCCTGCTTAACCTCAATCATTTTAATACTCTGTGTAGTCTGTTGTCCCAAAAGACAGGCAGGGAAGTATACATAAGAGGTATGATCAAAAAGTACTGTGAATGTTTACATTTTAAAAATATACTAAAAAACAGCACTGTCATCGACCCCCCTCAAAATCCTCCCCCTTGCTTTGAATACACATCCCATCACTCTTGCCAGTTTCTGAAGCGCTTCTGGAAGTCCACTTTCGCGAGTGTCTTTAGTCCATGGTTGTGACTGCCTCATTGTCCTGAACTGATTCTAAATGCTTTCCTTTTGTGATCATTTTGACTCCGGGCAAGAGCCAGAAGTCACAGGGTGCCAGATCTGGTGAATAAAGTAGATGAGGACACACCGTAATGTTTTTATGAGCCTAAATTTCCTTTGGGTGGCACTCGGCAGGAACGTTCACAGGACTATAGATCACACCTTATAAAGACACTCAGGAAAGAGGACTTCCAGAAATGCTTCAGAAAATGAAAGAACAAGGCTTGGCATGGTGGTGCATGCCAGGCACCTGGGAGGCTGAGGCAGGAGGGCTGCTGCAAATTCGAGACCAACCTGGGCCCTCTCGAAAAACAGTGTGTGTGTGTGTGTGTGTGTGTGTGTGTGTGTGTGTGTGTGTGTGTCTATATATATGAAAGTGGCAAGAACGATAAGTGATGGGATCAGTGGCAATGTGTCTTTACTGTAATACAGTTTTAAAATTTAAACATTCACTGTATACTCTGACCTCCCCTTGGATGTGTGAGCTCCTGTCCAATACCCTCCTGCTGCTAACAGTGTGCCACAGCCTTCCAGAACTCTCTACCAGCACAAGCAGACAGGTAGGCGCCGGCCGAAGCTACACAGCCTTTTTTTTTTAAGACATGAGAATTTACCAAAAGTCCTGCTCTGAACAGTGTGGCTGACACACACAGGGTGGCTCCGTTTCTCCAAATAGCAGCTGCAGGATACGCCACAGTGGGGGTGGGGGGCCTGTCAGGTGTCATGCATTTCACCACCCTTCAAGGTGGGAAGGATGCAGCGAGGCCCTTTTCAGCAGGGGCTTCCTGTATAGCTTCGTGGATCTGAGCAAAGGACTGGAAGCGATCAGGATGCCCGGCCACCTGACCCAGAAATGCTGCCCCTCACACCGCCGTAAGCCTTGGTCCCGGCTGCCAGCATCACAGTGTGAGGAAGATGGTGGAAGATGCTGGACACACTGGTTATCTGCACAAAGCTGCCGAACTATACCTAGCACAACCCAGAGTCACGGTGGGGTCCTGCCCAAGTGACCCGATGCTTCCGGTTGTGTGTTCTGTTTTGTTTGGGGTTTTTTCTTTCTCTCTCCTTTTGGTACCAGGAATTGAACTCTGGACCCCACGCTTGCCAGGCAGGCACTGTGCCGCTGAGCTATATCCCGGGTCCCTTGTTTTGGTTTTGGTGGTACTGTGGATTGAGCTCAGGGCCTTCACACCAAGCCACACCCTTAGCCCTTTTTATTTTATTTTTACATTTTAAGACAGGGTCTTGCTAAGCCCAGGCTGGCCTCAAACTTTCAACCATCCTGCCTCAGCCTCCCAGAGGACCGGCTCAATGCTTTTAAAAAGGAACGTGTCAAACACAAAATGACCAAGGGCACAGAGGAGGAAGTTAAGAAACTTAAAATTCCAAGCAAATAGCATTTCAAGGGACAAAGAGAGTTGCGTTCTAGAGGTCTGCAGCTTCATCTCCATGGTGGAAACATGTATGTGTGTGCTCGGTATTTTCTTGTTTCTGTGCATTTTTAATCCCACTTCTATCACCGAGAACAGAAAGTATGCTGAGGCGGGGCGTGCCCTGGCTACGCCGCCCTGGTCTCTAGTATCCGTTATCAGATGAATGCTGTATCTCAGGCTGCATGGCTGTGCAGTAAGGCAGGGGAAAGGCCACCTCCGTACAGATGGTTTCTTCCTTTCTTTTATGGTACTGGGGATTCAACCCCGGTGCCTTCTATCACTGAGCCACATCTCAGGCACTTTTTACTTATTTTGAGACAGCCTCACTGCGTTTCCTGGGTTAGCCTCAAATGTGCAATGCTCCTGCCTCAGCCTTCCAGGGTCCTGGGAGCCCAGGTTATGCTCAGATTTTCTCCCATTTCTTCATATTCCACATTGCTTTTTTTTTCTTGTACCAGGAATCAAACTCACGACCTCACGCTTGCCCGGCATGCGCTGTGCTGCTGAGCTATATCCCCAGCCCCACATAGTTTTTATTATCACATCAAACCAACAACATTTTTCCCTCTGACCAGCAAAATGATTGCTGGGAGCCCCGCCCCTTTTTATTTGCATAAGAAGGGAGATGCCTGCCCGCTCGTGGGCCACCTGGGACCTGCAGTTGGCAGAGGAACCCACTTCCCCATGGTGGGTCTCAATTATGTCTCAATTATGTACCCCAAACCTCGGTCTCTCTTTCCGTGGTTCCCGTTACCGGCAGCAACTGCTGTCCAAAAATGCTAAATGGAAAATGCCAGGAATGAACGACTAGGAAGCTTCCAACGGCATGCCACTCCGGGCGGCAAGAGGAACACTTGCGCCACCCCGTCCCGCCTCATCTCAGTTGGGACACAAGAGATCAGGGAGTGCAGCTGCACCCCCTTGGTCACCCTGCCGCCACCTGTGCGTGAGCAGGACAGCTGCGGCGCGGCCGAGCTCACTTGGGACTCCACTTTCTGTGGTTTCCGGCACACATGGAGGCCTCGTGACGTGTTAAGTGGTTGCCACAGGTCTGGACCTGCTGGGGGTACCCTGCTGTGGTTATGACTACTTATGCTGCACCCTTTCTCCAAGGCCTGAGAATGCAAGATGGCTTCGGCCCTGGGCACAAGCCTCAATGCCCGTGGGCGGTGCTTGGCCACAACCCCTCCCATCCTCCTCATCACCCCCTGATTAGGAAACTGACTTCTGAGTCTCAGCTCTCGTCTGTGATTTTCCCTAGAATGTCACCACTTGGTGAGGTTTCCTCCTCCATCAGGGACTCAGTGGAAAGGCCTGAGGCAGAGTGCTGTGGAGTCCGCCGCTTAAGTCCAAATGCAACTACTTATGGGGAGCCACTGGCCATCAGCTTCCTAGCTGCCAGTGCAAAAGGGTAACAGATCTAATTGTTAGGACGTTTCTGAAAAGCAAGCATTCTTAATCTGGGGGTTCAAGGAGACAATGAAAAGCTTTTTCTCTGGGGTAGGAAAAGAACCTATCTCAGTGCAGTGGTAGAGCACGTGCATCACACACGGGAGGCCCTGGGCTCCATCCTCAGCACCAAAGGAAAAACACAAAGCCCGTGTCTAGTTTCACATTTTTACCTCTAAAGAAATGTGGTTTTCCTGCAGGTGACAGTGGAGGCCACAAACCACAACAGTGTCAGTAGCGCTGGTGACGCTGCCACCAACAGAAACCACAGGGTCCCCAGCCCACGGCAGTTACTACCTACCCTGCTACACCCGCGGCTCCACACTGTACCCTGTGCTCCCTACCGTCAACACCACTGGGCCCCTCGGGACCTGCGGCCCTCTGCTGCGTGTCTCCCATAGTCAGTGTGGAAGGCCTGGCTCCGGCAGGCACTTTCACAGGGGGAGGGGGAGTCTTGAGGGGGTGGGACGTGGCGGGAGGGCCTCAGGCCACCGCTGCCAGGCACCCTCTAGGCCACAGGGAGACCCTCTGGTCCCTGCGCTCCTTCTTGCAGACTGGCAAGGGGGTGGGTTGCTGCCCCCCCTGCCCCCATGAAATGCTACCTCCCACAGGCCAGAAACAATGGACTAATGGACCCGGGGCTGCAACTTCCCAACCTGCGCGATGCACTAAATCTCTCCTCTTTGAGTGAGTTACCAGGTGCTTGTTAGAGCACTGGCAAGCTGCCCAGCACGGGCCCCAGGCACTGTGTTATTTACACACCTTTTCTTTTCTTTCTTTCTTTTTCTTTCTCCATGTGGTACTGGGGATGGAATCCAGGGCTGCCACACTGAGTTAAGTCCCCAGCCCTTCTTGTATTTTTAAAATTCTGAACCGGAGTCTCACTAAGTCACTAAGTTGGCCAGGCTGGGCTTGAACCTGAGATCCTATTGCCTCAGCCTCCCACTCACACACTATTTTCTTTTTTTTTTTGGCGCGTTTTTGAGACAGAGTTTCACTATGCAGTTCCGGCTGGCCTTGAACTCACTGCATAGCCCAGGCAGGCCTCAAACTCACAGCGATCCTCCTGATCCTCCTGCCTCAGCCTACCGAATGCTAGGATTACAGGCGTGCGCCACCACACCCAGCTTCACACGCATTTCTAAATGCTGAAGACAGGGGCAGGCGAGCAAAGCCCTCCACAAGGAACAGGGAAGGTGGCAAAGCTCCTCTCACCTTGACAGGCTCACTGATTCGGAAGCCAGGCCCCACCCCACCCTGTGCCCGAGCCCCTGCACTGCCTACCTTCCTGGGGTCCTTCCTGTCCCGGGCGCGGCCGCTGTCCTTGCGTGGGCTGGGCGGGCCCCGGGCGCAGCGGCCGGGCTTGGCAGGAGTCGGGG